AACCGCCGGTGAAGGAAACCGCCCACCTTGCTTTTCCGAAGAACACAAAAGACAATTGAAATCACCTATTACTAAAAATGGAATAACAAGCGACGAGAGAGCAACCTTTATTTCATTCATTTGCTCCAAACGAGTGCTCTCATTACAATCCAGATGAACAAACACCAACACAAATTGACCATAAACAGAATGGACACATTCTACGAACATAAAAGCTTGAGACTTCGAGGTAACCGTGCAGGAAATCTCCGAAGACCAAGCAACGACAAAACCCCCAGCAGTATTTACAGGACTAACGAGGTCATTATTCGGGTAACCAAGACGACAAAGACGCGAAATAACTTTCCTATCCCGACACTTCGTTTCGCAAAGACACACAATTATCGGAGATCGACAATTGACAGCGGCAAGCAGCGCCTTACGAGCCAGGGCCTTGCCGAAACCCCGACAATTCCAAAAGAGAATAGTCATGGATCAAATTGGGACCGACTTGGGCCGGTGTCCTCCACCCCATGATCATTGACAGCCAAATCAGAATTTGCAGCAGATTCCACACACTGGAACTTGGAATTGGAAGGAAGCATTACCTCTTCCAACTCCCCTCTCTTACGAACGCGACCAGCGGAGGGAGAGCCGTTCTCTACGCCCAACGGAGGATCCAGAGACAGACGCTGAAAATCCTCTACCCCCGGGACTGCAACAGCTAATGGCGCAGGAAGTGCGAGCACCACAGAACGGCGATCAGACGCCGAACCCTCCACCTGACGCCTCCAGGAGAAACGAGCCAAACGACGGCGGAGGGTGTGTTCATTGACACGCGGCCCCTTGTCTCGAGCAAGCAAGTCTTTACCATAAGGGGGCACGTCACCGGCAGCCACAACTTCAGGCCGATCACACCGGCTCCGTGGGTGACCAATCACACCACAATTAAAACAGAACAGCGGAAGTCGTTCATAGAGCACCGTAGCCTCGAAGGGATTCCTGGCCTGGAGTTCATGAGAAGCAGTGACAGAGACGGGAAGAGGAGCCGTCACATCAATGGCCACCTTCGCGCGAAGGTAGACACCACCAGAGTTGCTGCCGATGTGAACCGCAGCAGCCTTCAGATCGCCCAGAGCGGAGCCCAGACAGCGGGCCATGAGCACTGTGTGGCCATGAGAAGGAACCCTCCAGAATTGCACCCAAAGCGGTACACGATTGAGAGACTCCACAGCCACAAAAGACGGTTCCTCCCAGGATTTGACATGTAACATGTAGCGAGGCTGAATCCAAGGAGAACCATCACGGATCCGAGCCAAATCAGAGGAGTCGGAGAAGACAAATCCAAGCAAACCATCGCATAGAGATAGAATGGTCAGCGAGCCCTCACAACGCCAAAGATCGGCAAGGAAGGACTGCATACTGGGAACACTGGGAGCAGGGCCAAAAACCTTGCCAATCAGGGACAATTCAGCACGATCTTCAGCCACCGCCACCGTCGAATCAGAAAAAATCGCCGATCTGGAAGCCATAGCAAAAGCAGGGGTGAAACAGAACTGGGCAGAGGAGAACCTTTGCAGCAAAGGATAGAATGGAACTATGGTCAGGACCCTGAATGGTCATTTAATCCCTCCAAAAGAGGGCATCGGAGCACCAACCGCCGGAAAGCAGTGGCTAAACACATTTTCTTAGTTCGTAATATACATATTTTAAGTAATGTATGTTAAATCATACAGTATTGACAATCTGACTAGAAAACCTGCTTAGCAGAACCCAAAACGTTGTAGCATTTTATCGATATAAAATAGTTTTTATTTTTACAAGTCGATATAAAATGGTTTCGTTCAAAGTTAAATAACGATTTAAACACACAATACATTATCACTGATATATTTTTTTTTTAATAGGAAAAACTGTATTCATCTAATTAACCATGAGACACAAAGTTTTCAGTGAAATCCTCTCTTAGAAGAGGTACAAGAAAATGAGGTGAGCTATCAACCCACACCTCTTCACTCTCCCAACTACAATCAAAATGGGCCATCAAATGGGTCGGTTTATTCATGTCTCGGCCCACAAAACCCCACCTGACTCCACCCAAGGTCTGGGCTTTGGCCCGTATTTACGCACAAACCAGCCCGACTTCTGTTTCCCTTTCCTCCTCCCGTTAGCTGCTGGATGATTCCCTGGCAGTCTGATTCGATTTTCATTTCCCCAACTCCCCTTCTTCTCGCTATTTCTAAACCGAAATCCACCGCAGCGCTTCTGGTTCTTCCGGGTTCTATTGAATATGTGATCTCTGCACAACTCCAAATAGGAATTGTCCAGTTGCATCCCTCGCCACCACTCCCCATCCCGTTCTTTGGCCCTCGAAGCATGCAAAATCGACACTGAGCTTCACTGACCCCATCATCGGAGGTTTCCACCGCTGCTCCTCCATTCGCTCCGCTGGTTGGAACTTCCTCTTCTTTTCCCGGTAATCCTTCAACCACTCACTAGCTCGAGCCAGAATTTCCCATTCCTCCAATTTCTTCTTATTCCACATATGAAAGTTTCGTTGATCCCAGATGTACTAGAGACCCACCAAGAACAACCCGAGCTGTTCGTCGGATTCAGTCTCCTGCAGATCACAGAACCACTCCTCCGAGGTAAGATTCTCCCCTCTATCTATGTATGAACCCAACGTGTTCATTCCACCGCCCTCGCTGTGGATCACTTAGAGTCTTTCTCTCTTCTTCTTTCTTGTTTCCTCTCTTCTTCCTGGACTCTATCTACGCTGATTTATCGAAACAGCAAGAAGCTACTCAATTTCGCTTGTATTAACGCCGTAAGGCTTGAATTTGGTATCCTGTTTATTGGAACTTTCGGTAGCCCTTTAGCCGCCTAATGAGATTTAATTCTCATTTTTGAAATGTCTTATCGTGAACCTCCCCCTCGTGAGACTAATCTTCCAATTTTCTCACTATTCTTAGTTGGTATCAACCTTTGTAAATTGCCCTTCAAGTTTACGGTTGGGAAAGAAACCAGATTTCTTATTGGAATTACTCAGTTTTAGCATATTCTCCTCCTGAATAACAAATTCTTCTAATTTAATATTGGGATTGGATTCCTATTTCCTACCCTTAACTATAACATTGGCCACGTCCAGTGCATGACCTTCTAAGAATTTTATCTAATAATACGTTCTTGGTGACAATTTTGGGATATTAATCTCAGCTATTATCGTACAACCCGAAGCTGGTCTATATTAGGCTTCCATTGTCAAAACTATCTTTGTGCTACATTTATCATACAGATTGGGTTGCCCTTTGGCCATTAACTAATGTACGACATCTTGTCGATCTCGGCACCGATCATTGCATCATTGCTTTCTCTATTGAAGATAATCTCATACAAGGACGTCGTATTTTCTATTTTGATAGTCGATGGTTAGGCAACCCAGAAGCTCTATTATTACTAAAATATGTGTGGAATCAAAATAGTATGGGATCCCTACAATTTCAGTTGTACAATCACCTGCGATGCGCCAGACATATGTTTGTTCATTGGAGGAAAGGAGGTACATCGAACTCGGCTAGAAACATTCGCGACCTAGAAGTGACATAGAATTTAGCCAGAGAGGCCACAACGAAATCCTGAAAATGACTCGCAGGAACAACAACGGCCTCAACAAGCATGCACCGAAAAGCCCAATACTAAGTCCGGCTCATGATCCGTATATAGATATAACCCACCACCACACGCCAACCACAATTAACCAACGATTTCATCTCCTCGTGACATTTCTTCTTCCACTCAACAGCCACTATATTTGTCACAAATCCCATGTATACATTCTGAGGTATTTAAAATCGTGAGATTTTAATTCAAATCGCTCGTTATTAAAATTCCCCATCCGAATGACCTTTAAAGGTACCATATCACGATAGCACCACAGGTATAACCCATATATATGTTATAATACATGTGAGTTGTCGCTGAAAACAATAAAGATTAACAAATTTACGTTAGTGACAACAAATGAATGGGGTGGGACGAGAATCTCAATACCAATACCCGTCCCACACCAAGTGCAAATCGGAATGAGTAATACCAACGCGGGTCGGGGCGAGTAATATCTGCTCGAGTATGGAGCGGGGCAGGTCAACCCACTCTTACATGTTATTTAAATAATTTAAGCAAAAATTTATTCTTTTACGATAAACCGAAGCGAAAATAGTTTTTTTTTTGGATGAATTAGCGAAAATAGTTTATGAAAGAAAATTAGTGATAATAGAATGGGTATAGCTAAGTCTAACTAGTTAAAAGATCAAATCTCTACCGTCTAACTAGTTGGAAAAAAAAGTCAAAATATGAGAAATATAAATACATAAATATAGATAGAATGGGCCAAGAAATCGGCAGGGCGGGGCATGGAGTCGGAAGTAGACCCATACTCCGCTCCACGCTACTACGGGTCGGGTAATACACATCCCATCACGAGTCAGGTCAGATAATGCCTGGGTTGAAATTATCATCCATAATTTACGTGGTTCCAATACTACTGTCGATTGCGATAAGATGTCTTATATTCAGCTTGAGTACTTTCTCACACTCTGTTAGAGGGCAATCAATATAATACAAAGGGAAAACCCTAGCTCATAACACGGCAACTAGCTAGTGCATGCATGGGCTACGTACGAGTCCTAATACACCACACTTAACGTACTAATAATACGTAGCCGGCCAGCTCGGATAAGAAAGTGGTACTTAATTAATTTGTTTCCGACCATTAAAAGGTTTTCCTAATCCTAGTCGAGCAAGGCTATCTCAGGTCCCTCCTCCCCTATATAAACACGTACGCCAATCTCCTCCAGGCTCCAGCTAGCTCAAAAAGGAAACAAATTAAACAACAAAGTTCGCTTTCTCTCGATCAGTTGCCTTTTCCTTCAACGTACTCTACCAAAGTCTCATTAATCATAATGTTGACGAGTGTCGCGAAGGTGCCCGCCGGAAGCAGCCGTCGGGGAAAGTTTGAAGCAATGATCACCGGCTTCTTCCGAGGCGGTGGGGGCTGGAGGAACGGTTCTACATGCGAGATGGCGGTGAAGCAGCTGCAAAGCCGACTGAGAAACCTGAAGAAAGAAACGGAAAAACGGGTCCAGGACCGTACCGGCAGAATAGCTCGGTTCGTAGACGATGGGGACGTGGGTGCCGCGGAGCAGATAGTGAGGGACGAGAACGCGATCCGGATCCTCGAATTGCTGTACCATTCGTGCGACGTCGTCAAGGCCAATCTCACCTACATACGCCGCCACGTGGACTGCCCTAGGGAGATCAACAAGGCGGTCTCCACGTTGGCGTTCGCCAGTTCTACGACGATGCGACGGCGGATGCGGCGAGTCTCGAGGGTTTCCGTGGAAGTTGCGTTGACTCGGAAGTGGCGGAGAGGCTGGAGTCGAGGCATGCTAGGGTTCCTTATCCTACCACGCTTGCAAAGGTTTGTGCGATACTTCACAAGGACGTTGGAGCTCGCGACGAGGAATTAGTACCACTGGAGTAGTGCCTATTTAGTTTTGGAGAAGTTATTGTAAATGGTTTAGAGAGGATAAAGCATTTGAACAAAGTAGTAGTACTGTAATTTAGGGTTTCGTTAATTTGAATCATTATACTGAAAAGGTTAAGCAAATGTTGTGTTTCTTTAGGTTGTGGACGACACTTTCTTAGTGCTTGTTGTTGCTAAACACATTTTCTTAGTTCGCAATATACATATTTTAAGTAATGTATGTTAAATCATACAGTATTGACAATCTGACTAGAAAAACCTGCTTATCAGAACCCAAAACTTTGTAGTATTTTATCTTTACATGTCGATATAAAATGGTTTCGTTCAAAGTTAAATAACGATTTAAACACACAATACATTATCACTGATATATTTTTTTTTTTGAGGGAAAACTGTATTCATCTAATTAACCATGAGACACAGTTTTCAGAGACATCCTCTCTTAGAAATGGTACAAGGAAATGAGGTGGGCTATCAACCCACACCTCTTCACTCTCCCAACTACAATCAAAATGGGCCATCAAATGGGTCGGTTTATTCCTGTCTCGGCCCACAAAACCCCACCTGACTCCAAACAAGGTCTGGTCTTTGGCCCGTATTTCCGCACAAACCAAACCCGACTTCTGTTTCCCTTTCCTCCTCCCGTCACAGCTGCTGGATGATTCCCTGGCAGTCTGATTCGATTTCCATTTCCCCAGCTCCCCTTCTTCTCGCCATTTCTAAACCGAAATCCACCGCCAGCGCTTCTGCTTCTTCCGGGTTCCATTGAATCAGTGATCTCTTCACATCTCCAAATAGGAATTGTCCAGTTGCATCCCTCGCCACCACTCCCCATCCCGTTCTTTGGCCCTCGAAGCATGCAACATCGTCATTGAGCTTCACTGACCCCGTCATTGGAGGTTTCCACCGCTGCTCCTCCACTCGCTCCGCTGGTTGGAACTTCCTCTTCTTTATCAAAGCGGTTTCATTATCTCAGCTATCAAAGCGGTTTCACTATCAAGGGTAACAATATTTGCAAATTACTCGAGGAACGTTAACAGCGAAATGGCTACCATAGCACACCATTAACAACGAAGGCCGTCAAACGTTTATTTTAGACTGATCACACAGTATAGGATCACAATTAGATTACAACACCCAAACTATATTCTAGAACTTTGGAAACACAAATCATTTATTAGTCACAAGAAAGTTGCGTCACACACTGTGAACTGAAACTCGCAAAAACCTCAAACTTATTGAAACTAACATTATTTAAATAATAAATATATTTATATTATCTTTTGATTTTCATCTACCTAGATGTTTTGTTGCATTGCATAGTAGCACGACTTGTAAGCAATGGGGACGTGGTTTCCGCTTTCGCCGTAGGGGAATGGATGGCGAGGGAGGAGAGCAAGATCTGTCTCTACGACTTGCTCTACAATTCGTGTGGGATCGTAATCACCAATCTCCCGTCTATAAGCCGGCACTCGGACTGCCCTCACGAAATCAACAAGACGGTCTCCACGCTGGCCTTCGCCACCCTGTGGTGTCCCGATTTCCCCAAAGTTCTGATCATTAGACAACTCTTCTTCAAGCATTACAACAAGACGGTCTCGAGGATTTCCGTGGAAGTTGCGTTGACTCGGAAGTGCCGGAAAGGCTGGAGTATTCGAGGCACACTTTTTTTCCTCATGATACCGCGCTTCGCAAGGTTTGTACGGTGAGGAATATTTTGCAAGAGGCAAACGCTGAAAGTAGCACTAGTTCCTGAAGATACGCAACAGTATTACTGGTGCCTATTTACTTCTGGGGAAAGTTATTGTATATGATTTAGGGAAGTAGTTCCAATGCATAACCTTATGGTGAGTAGGGATGGCAACTTCTACCAAAAAAAAAAAAATAGGGATGGCAACAAAACCCGAACCCAAGGCTACCCTACCCGATCCAACTCGGTCAACGTGGGTAAAATCCGTGTTGACGGGTTTTGGACCGGTTTCGGGTTTAAACCCGCTACACCATCACCGGGTTGGGTTTGAGTTGAGGCAAACCCGTCCCATGGGTACCCGCCCAAACCCATATTAATTAATTTTTTTGGTATATTTAATATTCTAAACAATATATCTTTCTTAAACAACTAATCTTCTTTATGTTAGTGGAGGTATGTCTAATTTGTTCTTTCTAATTGTGTATGATGAAGTTGATATTATGGAGTGGAGAGTGAAGAAGTTTAGTTGACAAGGAGAAAAGAGTTGTCATTTAATCATGTTGCTTATAGATCTTTATCTTTAATTTTGAAAAATTTGTATTGATAATTTGCGGTTTGCTTGTATGCTCTAGATTGTATTTTTTTGTATGGATAATTTGTATGAGAAAATTGATTTTAGACTTTTATTTAGAAGAAACTTGTTATTGTAAGTTTTTTACTACAAAAATCCACGGGTACTCATGAACCCGCGGATACCCAACGGGTTGGGTTGGGTTTGAGTTTTTCAAACCCAACGGGTTTTACCCCGGGTTTTTTTGGCGGATAAACCAATGAGTTTGGGTTTGGGTTTGGCAAAACTCGCCCCAACCCGACCCATTTCCATCCCTAATGGTGAGTAATAAGGATGGCAACAAAACCCGAACCCACGGGTACCCACCCGACCCAACCCGGTCAACGCGGGTAAAACCCGTGTTGACGGGTTTTGGGCCGGGTTCGGGTTTAAACTCACTACACTATTCACCGGGTTGGGTTGGGTTTGGGTTTAGGTAAACACGTTGATAGACCAATAATTGCACATGTTGTTACCCCTATTCTTGAGCCGTTTGAGATGTTGATTCTCGTGTTTTAAGCCGATTTCACGCTAGGTTGTGTATTTATGTCATATTTCAAGGCTTGGCGTTGGCAACGAAGTGAAGAAACGAGTTTCGGGTCGAAAGGAGCACGTTTGAGTTGAAGTGTGCAGGAGGAGCAAAATACGTGGCCATGAGCAAAAATACCCAGCCGCGTATTAATCTGAGCAGACCAAGGAAAATCACTTTTGGGCGTTTGAGAAGCAGAAGGGGGCCCGGGCATTGAGCATAAATCCCCGGTCGGGTATTCTTGACCTTGACCGGGGATTAATCCCCTGTCCTCGATGGTGCGTTTCAATATTCCCCGGCCGGCCACCTAAAATACCCGACAGGGTATTCTGACAGGGGATCGCGAACGCAGGCTGTTAAAAGCCTGTTTTGTGCGTTTTTGCAGGGGGAGCTGGGTTTTGGATCCCAAACACCCAAGGGACGAACCAAAGAGAGAGAGGGCGATTTGAGGGCATTCTTGGAGTGGAATTGGAGGATTTCTTCGCCTTGGAAGCTCGAGGAACAAGCCCGAACTTGAAGACTTATCATCTGAAGATTCTTACTGTAGTCTCTCTCTTCTCTATGGAGTAACTTCCCTTCACTTAGGTTTTGAGGAAACCTAGCTATGTTTGTTTGATTGGATGATTTTATGAGTACTCTTACTTGATAATCTTGAGTTCATATTCAATCTATGCATGTTTTCATGATTCAATTCTGCTTTAGTCGAGATTATTGATTCTGCTTTGATCCTATGAGAGCGAATACGTGATTAGGTCAATAGAGCACCATAGATTGATAGTATTGGATCGATTGCTTTAGTCGAGCGTTGATTCAATGCTTTGTATCGATTGAGAACCTCATTCGATAGAGGGCATCTAGTTCAGAACGCCTTGATCAGTTGTTCTAGAGAAGGATACGTCCCTCTAGGCAAATGACACAAGAGGGCCTTGATCCTTTAGTCAAGGATTCTCCGCATTGTGAATGAAAGTAAAACAAGTTAGAGATCATCAATCAGTAATCTGGCTAGTGGCTAGGGGGAATCATACCTAAGTGAGTTCCCAACCTGTAATTAGATTAACTTTAATTGTAGTTTGTTAGAGTAGTTTTAGTTCTTCCATCTTAATCTGGTTTGCTAGATAAACTGAAGCTGAGTAATAGTAACTCTAGAGACCCGTGGATTTGATATTTATTACTTGAGCCACTATACTACAGTCTCTTTCATTGGTTACACTTGGCCATTGTTAGGAGTTGTGTCATAGCGAGTCACCCGCCCCATGGGTACCCGCCCACACATATAATTACTTTCCTGGTATATTTAATATTCTAAATAATATATCTTCTTTAAACAACTAATTTTATTTATGTTTGTGAAGACATGTATAATTTGTTCTTTCTAATTGTTTAGAATGAAGTTGATATTATGGAGTGGAGAGTGAAGAAACTTATTTGACGAGGAAGAAGATTTCAATTAATCTTGTTGTTTATAGATGTTTATCTTTAATTTTGAACAATTTGTATTGATCATTTGCGGTTTGTTTGTATGTTCTAGATTGGTGTTTTTTGTATGAATAATTTGTATGAGAAAATTGATGTTAAACTTTTATTTTGAAAGAACTTTGTTATTGTAAATTTTTTACCACAAAAACCCACGGGTACCCATGAACTCCCGGATACCCAGCGGGTTGGGTTGGGTTTGAGTTTTTCAAACCTAACGGATTTTACCTCAGGTTTTTTTGGCGGATAAACCCATGGGTTTGGGTTTGACAAAACCCGCCCCAGACCCATTGCCATCTCTAGCGAGTAACCATGCATAAACCAATCACCATCTGCCAAAATCAGCGCCCCTTCTCTCTCCTAGAAAACATTTAATTTTCCCCACTAAATCCTTAACAGATGATTTCTCACTCGTTTTAAGTCAGAATTTAATTTTTTTGCACAGTTAGATCAGATTTATTGTGCTCTTCAAAATGATATCCACTTTGATATAATTTTGGAACAAAAAAATTGAGTAATTTTTTACCAATATATACCATATGATATTGACTAGTATTAAATAAGAACATACAATATAGTATGAAAAAACTTATCATGGTGGTATGAACATATCAAAACTGTAGGATGATTGAATACATGATAGTAGATATATACTATCATTTACGACTTTCAATATTCTGTACCACAAGATACCACCTCATACCAGGGTGGTATTGTGGTATTTTTTGGTCATGTATATTGTTCACCCAGAAATTTGTAGATCCAATAGATCATGATGAACTCGTTCATTCTGTGCAAAAAAATTCAAAAACAAATTAAAAAATGAAGAAGATACCATATGATATGTAGTTGGTAACAAGAGGCAAGAATTTTTTTCTAAAAAAATATTGAAATGGATCTCATTTTGTAGAGCACAAAGAACTCGTTCCATCTATGCAAAAAAAAATTTGAAATTCGAGTTAAAACAAAGAAAATATGAGTCGATTAAGAAAACAAGGGAAAATAAAAATGCATTTAATTCTCCACCATTAGATTTGGATTTTCTGGGCCCACTTAAATCTGATGGCTGATATTCATTACTCGTATAAACTTTTGAAAAAAATTAGTGTTTTAGGGTTTCATTTTTTTGAATCATTAATACTGAAAAGGTTAATCAAATGTAGTGTTTGCTACATATTTTGTTCATGTTCTTACATATTTTGAGTAGTGTTTGCTAAATGTACTTTCTTAGTTCGTGTTATACATATTTTAAATTGTGTTTGATAAACCATACAGTACTAGTAGTTTAAACCTGTTTATCGGAACCCAAAACGTTAAAGAATTTTATCAATATAAAACGGGTTCAATCAAAATTAAATCACGATAAGCACACAATACATTATCACCGATTTATCTGATACAACCTTTGGTACGATTTTACAGCACATGCTGATTTCCTTCTCCATACACCCCCAGTGGCTAAAAGATTTGCTTCTTCAACTGTTTTGTCTGCTTATAATTGCCATTTCTTTTTAGTAAGCCCTAGCTTGGGATGGATGGTGAAAAATATTCCGTGAAAAAGTTAAATAAATTGATAGTGGAAATTAATGTCATTGCGTGAAACCACAACGGGATCCCGAAACTGACTCGCAGGAACAACAACGGGCTCGACAAGCATGCAACGGAAAGCCAAATACTAAGTCTGGCCCATGATTCGTATAAAGATATAACCCACCACCACACGCCAACCACAATTAATCAACGATTTCATCTCCTCGTGACATTTCTTCTTCCACTCAACAACCACTATATTTGTCACAAATCCCATGTATACATTCTAAGGTATTTTAAATCGTGAGATTTCGATTCAAATCGCTCGTTATTAAAATTCCCCATCCGAATGACCTCTAAAGGTACCATATCACGATAGCACCACAGGTATAACCCATATATATGTTATAATACATGTGAGCTGTCGCTGAAAACAATAAAGATTAACAAATTTACGTTAGTGACGACAAATGAATGGGGTGGGACGAGAATCTCAATACCAATACCCGTCTCACACCAAGTGCAAGTCGGGATGAGTAATACCAACGCGGGTCGGGGCGAGTAATACCTGCTCGGGTATGGAGCGGGGCAGGTCAACCCACTCTTACATGTTATTTAAATAATTTAAGCAAAATTTTATTTTTTTAACAATAAACCGAAACGAAAATATTTTTTTTGGATGAATTAGCGAAAATATTTTATGAATGAAAATTAGTGATAATAGAATGGGTAGCTAAGTATAACTAGTTAAAAGATCAAATCTCTACCGTCTAACTAGTTGAAAAAGTCAAAATATGAGAAATATAAATTCATAAATAAAGATAGAATGGGCGAAGTAATCGGCAGGGCGGGGCATGGAGTCGGAAGTAGATACCCA